GCTGCTCTAGGAGTGCGCTCTATGGTTGTGGGCCGGCTGCTGGAAGACTCTCTTCCAGAAGACTCTCTGTCCAGCAGCTGGCCCACAACCATAGAGCTCTACGCACTGACCTAGGGGGTATCCCAAATGTGCCAAGCCACGGGAGCTGGGGAGTGGGCAGAGCGCCACGTGCCTTGGCGTCTAAGGGATACCCCCTAGGCCAGTGAATGGCGCTCTGCCCGGCTGGAGAGGGGGTTTGCTGAGCGGCTGCTCATGAGCATGGTCACCTTATGGCTGCTTCACCCCTGAGGCTATGCTCGGCTTTTCGAGAGCCCGCTCACAAGAGAGCAGCTGCCCGGCAACTCTGGTCTCCGGCCAGGCAGAACACCACTCCCTAACCTAGCGGTATCCCGAAGGTGCCAAGCAACGTGAGCAACTTTCCCCCCACCCCGGCTCCTGTGGCTTGGCGCCTTCGGAATACCGCTAGGTCGGTGAGCAGGGGGCTTATTTTCAGGGGTGGGCTTATATTTTTGCCCACGCGAAAAATGTGGCAAGGCATTAGTTTCAGGACAGGTCGTATTTTCGGGGAAACACAGTAGGATTGAGCTCCCAGCCTACTGATTGCGAGGCTCCACCTCTTGCCTAAGCTGTGCATTATGAAGAAAAAATGTTGGCCCTCAGCATCTGAAACTGTAACATTTTACGGTTTCAGGATAGTTCCTTCTTCTCTGTGCATATATAGCCTATTTTTGTGGTAAGCCTAATTCTATTTCTGCTCTTTCTCTTTGCTTTCTAAAACAGCCTGTGAACAGGAATCAGAAAATTATAAGGAGGAGAATGCAGCACGGTTGCAAACAGCCCAAAATGAAGCTGAGGAAGAGACGTTTGGAAATAAAGGGGAAACAAACAGTAGTGAAAAAACCTGTGATGTAAACGGAAAGCAGAATTCCTGCCCATTGGGAGGCATGGAAGCACCCGACACCCCGAGCGAAGAGTGCAGAGAGGGCGTCAGTGAGAGCAGCGACCTCACGAAGCATGAAGGAATCCACAGTGGGCAGAAGCCGTACGTATGCATGGACTGTGGTAAGAGCTTCTGGCAGAGAGCTCAGTTCAGGATCCATGAAAGAATCCACACTGGGGAGACACCGTTTAAGTGTGCTGAGTGTGGAAAGGGCTTCACGGTGAGAGGTCACCTTATCAACCACGAAAGAATCCATACGGGGGAGAAGCCCTTCAAGTGCATGGACTGTGGCAAGAGCTTCAGTCACAACAGTGCTCTTTCTCGTCACGAAAGGACCCACACCGGGGAGAAGCCTTTCAAGTGCACGGACTGTGGAAAGGGCTTCTGTCATGGAGGCAAACTTCGGATCCACGAAAGAATCCACACAGGGGAGAAACCGTTTAAATGTACGGAGTGTGGAAAGGGCTTCAGCATGACGGGGCACCTTGCAAATCATGAAAGGATCCACACAGGGGAGAAGCCCTTTAAATGCACGGACTGCGGCAAGAGTTTCAACCAGAACAGCAGCCTAATGACCCACAAAAGAATCCACACGGGGGAGAAGCCATATCATTGTCTGGAATGTGGAAAGAGCTTTAGTCACAACAGTGCCCTTACTCGTCACGAAAGGACCCACACCGGGGAGAAACCTTTTGAGTGCCCGGACTGTGGAAAGAGTTTCAGTCAAAACAGCAGCCTAATGACACACAAAAGAATCCACACAGGGGAGAAGCCGTATCGCTGTCTGGAGTGTGGAAAAAGCTTTAGTCACAACAGTGCTCTTACTCGCCACGAGAGGATCCACACCGGGGAGAAACCTTTTGAGTGCCCAGACTGTGGAAAGAGTTTCAGTCAAAACAGCAGCCTAATGGCCCACAAAAGAATCCACACGGGGGAGAAGCCGTATCAATGTCTGGAGTGTGGAAAGAGCTTCTGTCAGAGTGGCCAATATATGATGCACAAAAGGATCCACACAGGATAGACACCAAATGCATGGTGTGCGTGTACGACTTTATTCCAGTAGTAAATGTATGAAACAAAAAAATCAACCAGAGAGAAGCCATCTGGATCCTTGAAGTGCAGGAGTGAATTTTGCATCAAATGAAAGGTCAAGGGAGAATATGTGATGTGTAGAGTGATGTTAGAGCACATGACATAATCAGTATAATTATAAATGCCTTGGAGTGAGGGAAAAGGACTCCAGATAGTGCTTGACTTATGGACAGGGCACAGAAATAACACAGGCAGCTGGCCGTTCAAACGGCCCCTTTATTGCTCCAAATGTCTCCATACGCGCCCATGTTTCTGGCAAGTCCCAGAGCAGAAGTGATGACACACCACTCACACACTCCAAGCAGCCTCTGGCTGCAAATAATCCAGCCCAATGCTGTGAGCACCACAGCTGCAAAGCAAGAAATCCAGCAGGGCAAGTCCAGGAATCAAAGGAGCAAGGCAAGGATCCAAAAACCCACAAAGATTGCAAGGAATTCAGGAAAGTTCAAACATCAGCACTCAAAACTCCACGAATTCAGCGTTTGTTCCCAACAAATGCCTCTCCCCACAGCGTTTCCTTAAGCTCTTCTCCCGATTAGGCGGGTTAGTCTGTGCTATTCTCGCCTTCTCTCCACTCTCCGTGCTCGAGTATCAGGAGGGGCAGTTTCTGCTCCTCCTCTGAGCTCTGCCTCTCATTGCTCATTGCTCACTGCTTAGTGTCTCTTGGTCATCCTGCCCCCATTCCTCCTTGCTTCAAGCTGTCCTAATTCTGAAAGGGTCTGGCCTGACTGGGCCTGCTCTCCCCATTCTCCAAAGCCAACAAAGCCGCCCCCTAGATTTCAGTCCAGTTCCAGCTTGTCTTCCCCCGCAGATTCAGGCTCCGATGGGGGCATGACAGCTTACAACTATTTAGAGATTGTTCAGTTATGATAGCATTGGGGAAAAAAGGCTTATGATCGGTCCTCGCACTTATGACCATTGCAGCATCCCCACAGTCATGTGATCAAAATTTATGACGGTTGCGGCATCCCTTTATTGCAGCCAGGTAGCTGCTAATTCCACAGCCCTTTGACCAGTTTCCGGTGGGGGGGGGTGTCTTGCCCCTAAACTGAAGTACATTCAATAATTGCCCTAGTGTTACTTCTATTATTTTATCCTAATTTTAATCTTATCTTTTGGGCATAACCTTTTTCTATCTAAATCAGCAAATCTTGCTCATAATTCCCATACCTCTTTTCTGGTACCGTAGATGTCAAGCCAGCCTCCCTCAGCAACCAAGAAAGAAACCACTTAATTCAATTTCGCAGAATTAAGAGTACTTTTACTGGTTATGAAGGGATAGCAGTTAAGCAAAGCAAGATCTGAGGCAACAGCGCGCGTAATCATAGGTAGCAGTAGCAGTAGCAATAGCAGTTAGACTTATATACCGCTTCATAGGGCTTTCAGCCCTCTCTAAGCGGTTTACAGAGAGTCAGCATATCGCCCCCAAC